ATTTGCTTTATGTGTAATATTTACATATTACTTAGCAAAAATTGTAGGAGGGTGTAGGAGTAAAATATGAAAAGCAACTTGTTCTTTTGTCTGTGTATGTCTGTACAGATGTGTGTGTGTGTGTGTGTGTGTGTGTGTGTGTGTCCCTTTTATAGAAATATTTTTCAACAGAAATTTTCTTTCATTGTATGACTTCATAAGTTGCTGAATAAATTGAAAGTTTGCAGGAGAATAATTTTGCCACTGCTCCAGTTAGAAATAGTAACATTATGAACAATATTTGTGCAGTGAAAAGAATTTTTATTGAGGGACAGGTTTTTTGTATGTAAGGATAAAGAAAGGAACATAGATAGTATATTCTGACTTAGAGTTTATGCATTTTTCAACCATCTCATTGGGAATATGTTGATAGATCAGTGAACTGACCTTGAAAAGTATTCCAATAATGTATCCATTAGTTTTAACTCATTTATTGACATGTGAATGAATGTGTTGTTTATATTGTTCTGTAGGCCTTTGTTGTGTTAATTTAATCATATTGGTGAATATGTTATGTTTATACGTAGTTTTTATTAATTATTGGAATCATACTTAAGTAATTTTGTAAATATTACCTAAACAGTAATGTTGCAAAATAAAAAATATATTAAAGTTAATTATTTGTTATTTATTATCACTTTTAGTTCAGTTAAATATTTAATAATGTTCACAATAGATTCATGGTAAATCACTGGCAGAAAAGACAAATTTTGGGTGTTGGATATAAGCACAAAATAAAATTATGTGTGTTTGAAATTGTATAATTATGAAAGTATTAACCAGTTGCAAATGCTGAGTTGTTTATAAACTAGGATTATACATTAACAAGTATTTTATTCTTATGAGTGAATTTGTCAGCTTATGCTGTATTGTATACATTAAACTTAGTGTCCGTCCATTCCACGCTAATTTGGTGTTAAACAATAGTGAAGCTTGTATGAAAAGTAAGAAGCAGCGAGACACTCATCTCAGGTAAGCCAGGAACTATTAATTTAGAGTTCAGTAATTGTCAGCCATAGTTTGATATATCTCGATATTCCTTTTACATGTTTCCCCATCTCAACATGTGTAATGTCCTTTGTCTTCTCATCTGTCAAACATTCATAAGTTGTATTACTAGAGTAATTAGGTGACGTGATTGACTGTCCTCTTTGTATGTCCAAGGTTGAGATCTTACTGTTTGTATTGGGAGTGTTATGGCTTTTTATGTCTTTGTATGATAAAATATACCATAGTACTCATTCAATATTCTAAATTCCATCCCCATTTTCTTCCTAAAATACAGTCAGGCTGTGACTGAAAGTCCTTGTCTCTTGTGAACTTTCATATGTCTGGTGATGTTCCTAAGACCAACATTCTGTTTATAAAATCAGAAAGTTATACAATCTGATAGGCCAGTTCTCTACTGCCAGTCACTCTACCAAGTATTTTCAAGTATGATCTACCGTACTACTTGAAAATAGTTGGATATTAAAGAGGAAACATACTTGAAGACATATCTCCCCCCCTCCCAATACCTTCTTGTTATGGTTAATAAATATTAAATATTTGTATCTCTGTAAAGTTTAATTCTTTGTAGTGGAAAATCATCTAAATAATATTTAACACAAAGAAAACATGACGCTTCTTCATTAAAAAGAAAAAGTGGTTAATAACATTTATTCTGAGAATCATATGAAACCCAAAAATACAAAATGTAGAGCTGTGGATTGTTTAAGCAGTCTCTTTTCAGTATCATCTACTAACAAATTTAATGGTACAGAGTCCAAACATTGCTCGTATATACTATGCATGATATGTGCCCACTCATTTCATCTCCCTTAATTTGATCACCATAATATTTCATGATGAAAACAAATTTCTCTATTCTTCTGCTAGACCCTAATTCTAAAATTGTTTTACAAACTTTAGTATTTTAATATTGCTGTCTAATGAGTATATGTGGAAAGATAATGTGCAGAGGAACATTCTTGGTATGCTTGTTCTCATATAAGAGTGATTATCTGTAACTACATTAGAGAACTTGTTATGTCACAAGTGTATAAATGTCCCATTAGTTTGCTGGTGTTTTAATTAAATGAAAGTCTTTTCTGTAGAACACTTTGCCCTTAGTTATCTGATTATTTTTTGTTGATTATATGGACACTTTTCTCTTTCAGTTTTTATGATTGTTTTATACAGCTGGTGTTTTGTAAACAAAGACACTTGTGAAACACATTTTGCTGTATTCTGCACTTCCCATTATATGTTTCGATAATTCTGTGGCCCTTTCTTTTGGGGTGCAGCAAGTTGGAAGGAGAGAAAATTAACTTTAACATATATCCTATGATACTTTTTTATCATCAGTCTCTAAAATTATGATCATGTGTGTAGCATGAGTACTAAATAATGCAGTATATGTGAGTGTTGAAAGTATGATAATTCTGGATTATTCTTGCTTCCTTAATCTTCTGTTCTTTGTTGTACTCACTTTTCATTAGTTAGTTGACAGTAGAGCAGTATTGTGTCATTACTACTACTGCTACTATTTGTGTATAAGTTGTGTTGTTAAACTCTCACAAGTGACTGTTCCATCTCTGTTACTTATGGTAAGTGTTGTTTCATTACTCATTCATCCTATTTCACAACATATCGTACTTCATTCACTGCTGATATTTGTAGTTTCCATAAGAAAGGAACAAACGGATTTTCATTGCAACACCTTGAATGAATTGCTTTATCTAAATGTGTGTATGATAATTTAATTTGTGCTCCAAATAGGATTTTAACAGCTTTTAAGTTCTTGTGTGATGCATGGACTTCTGTCTTTTGCATGTTCTGGTAACAATGTGTGGTTTAATATAAATCTCTTAGATCTAATACTTTCTGCTCAAATCTTTATATTCTCATAATAGAACAGGGTCCTCTTAAAATAGTGATGTGTTTTTAAATATAATTTGATTATGCTTTGTTATCTGTTATATTAAATTATTATGGAATCAAATATTTGAAGTGAATTGATTATTGTCTGCTTTCTCACTTTCTTAAAATGTTTGTTTATTTTACTATTTGTTAATGAGGGTTCTTTGGATGATTCTCTAGAAAGGAAGCTAATGATGGGATTTATATTACAGAAGGATTTTCTATAAATCCCCACCATAACACAGTGATCAGTAATGGATTTCCTGATACAGACTTTAATTACACCTTTAACAATATTCCCATATTGTTCATAGTTTACCCCAACAGGGGCAGAGGATTTTTCCTCTATTCTGTGTGTCCAGACCAACTCTGGGGCCCACCCAGCCTCCTATCCAATGGGTACTGGGGTCCTTCCCCCGGGGCTTAGGCACGGCCAGGGTGTGTGACACTGACCTCTCGACCCCCCTCTAGTGCTGAGGTTAAGAATTAGTAGGAGCTATATCTCCTCTCCCCCTAAGCACCTACATGACATGTAGCAGGACAGCTTTACTTATACTTTATACAAATTATGAACTGTTTTGTATCTCCCATTCCTATATTGCATGATGAAGTATTACTAACTAATATCATCTGCAGATAATATTCTTCAGCTTTGTTCTTTGTTCTTGAATCATAACATGAATTTGGAAGTAAGTATAAATTAAAATAATATTGAAACAAATCCTTAGGATAAGCAGTGTTAGGTTGAGGATGGATTAACCTGGTTCAGGATAGGATCCAGTGGCAGGCTCATATGAACATAGGAAGGAATTTGCAGGGTTTGTAAAAGGGAAGGAATTTTTGTTGATTGTGGCCTTCTCTGGGTTGTGACACCATGTAGTCTTGTAGGTGGTTACCATTATTACAGAATAACTGTATGTTGGTAACTGCTTGCAAGATTGCATGGTATAACAACCCAGGAGACCACAACTGGTATCTTCATTGCCTTAAGAACCTAAAATCTCAGGGCATTTCTTGACTAGCTCAGCAATATATATTATCAGCTTCTCAAAGACTGTGTTCCATGTATTTAGTACAAATGAAACTAATGAAGGAGACATAAAGCTGACCAAGAGACTCCTTGTTCTGTGTATTCAAGATGTTTTCCTATAAATAATTTGTATGCATTTCTTGTCCTCAGTTTCAACATTTGTCTAGCTTACATGTGTGATTTAACAACCATACAGTATTGTAACCAAGCTTGTGTCCTGTAAGTTTAAATATATTCCTTGTCACCTTGGTTTGAGGCAGTTAAAATGTATGCCCCTTCCCTCATGCCTGAAGTGGTAAAATAATATATAATGCAGGAAAGATGAACCTATTTGCATTTTGGTGTGAAGGGTATACTAATAAGAAGTGTTGCTGCTCCAGTACCTACTGGAAATTTATAACAATTTAAACAATCTTTTGAATGGTGCAGTTGTATACATACATTTGTCATTGGTACAGTGACCTACACCTGCCTAAAGACAAATACAGTAACTAATGAATGCTGTGGAACACTCATGGCCACAAGAGCTCATTATTGGACCTTATTCTGAACCAGATGAATCCAGTCCACACTCTACACTCTTTGAAACTTTTTCTCATGAAAATTTTGGTAATAAATTGCCATTGACAGTTAGGATAATTTAACGTGATTACAAAGAATTAAGTTGCTATATACTGAATTAACAACACCCTTGCATTGTTATTTATCATTTAATAAATTCAAAAGATTGTTTTGTGTCTAGTAAAATTGTGTGTGTGATATCAACTACAAATTAAAGTTAATTTCTTATGAAAACAATATGCTTTCAATATGATATTCCAAACTCTTGTAAATTCTATCACTTTTCTTTGATTGTTGGTGAAAGAGAACTAATAATAATCATGGAAAACCTGAATATAATACTGACAAAGCAAGAATTGAAAGTACTTCTAGTTGGGAATTACTTATTTCCTCTTCATTAGCTTTCTTTAAATATAAAGGTAAATTTATTGACTTATGTTGTATCATTGTGTTCTTGTTTCATTTGCAGGACATAAGCAACTGGAACTGTAATAACAGTTCTCTTCAAGCACTTGCACTTTCCCCTCGTTCAGAAACTGGCGATAGTCGGGTAAGTGCACACTAAAATAAAGATTATCGATTAATCACAGGACTATTTTACTCTTTGTTTACTATATGTACTAATGTTATATGGTACAAATTGATAATGTCTGTAGTTTTTCCATTGCCACGTGTCTAGGACATACATGAGGCATAGTTTATTTCTGTACCTACAATTACATGTTAGAAACTTAACACTGTTTATGTGATGTTTATTTTTATATTGTTCTGTTGTGTATGAATTTGAATATTTTATATGCTAGTTAAATACTTCAGTTATTTGAAGTTTTGTTCTCATATTATGTCCTGTATGAATTTGGATGTTATGGAGCAGAGTATTTCTTGAAAATCTGATTCTCATTCAGCTAGTCAACAAATTTTGTTCCCATTAAGGAACCTGAAGGTTCATTACTATGTTCACAAGAATCTGCCACAGGGCCCTGTTCTGAGTCAAATGAGTCCAGTCCACATCCTCGCACTATTATGTCCTGAAGATATGTTTTAATATTATTCTCCAAACTACATTTAGTTCTCCCAACTCGTTTATTATCTCCAGGATTTCTAACTAACACTTTGTGTGCATTTTTAATCTCTCCCATGTATTTTACATGCACTGTTTATTTCAACCTCTGTGATTTGATCACTATGGTAATTCTGAGGGGTACAAGGTGTGAAGCTTCTCATTATACAGTTGTCTAATAACTTCCTGTCCTATTACCTCTTCTCTCTCAAGTCCAAATATTCTCCTCAGCACCCTGTTCTCAAGTATTCTCAATCTATGATAATCTGTCGGGGCAAGAGACATTTCACATCCATTTGAAACTGGTAAAATTGTATTTTTGTATAATTTAAAGTTTTTGTTTTGATGGGTGACTGGGACATAAAAGATTCTGAACTGAATTGTAGTAGCAAGCTTTCCCAAAATTGAATCTGCTGTTGATTTCTTTTGACTGAAATTTTGATTTGTTACTCTTGTCAAATATTTTAATGTTGCCACTTTTCAGATACAAAGCTATCTTATATGGTACTAAAATTATGTAGATTGATATACTAATTTTTTTATTTCCTTACTAGTTGTTTCTTAATTTCAGGGTGTGCGAAGTCCCATGATATCACCTCGTGCCTCACCCCAACTTCTTCGTCGGGGAACAACTCCAGTTGCACCTCCTCCTCCTTTGCCACCCCGACGAGCTTCACCTACTCTTGGTAGCCCTACAAGTTCTCCGAGGTATGAAGGCTTGTTTATGCTGAAGCAATGTTCAGTGTTAAAGTTATGGCTTTCATCATAAACTTTACAGCTGCAGTTTTTAAAGATGTATCATGTTAATACATTGTTACAAAATGTTGTTCTAATACAAAAGGGAAGTATGATCTCTTGTTTATTCTGCTGTAAATGCCTGCAGTTATAACTGTGAATGTTGTTAAGATCTGGATTTCAGTAATCAACAGCATTTCCTTTCTTCTGATAGCTCCACCTGTCTTATTAGTGTACAAACGTAATAACTAAATCTTGAGAAACTGATAATTAGTGAGTCATAAGAAATTCCCTGCCATTTAATTATCTCAAAGACTTTATTATGTTTATTATTAAGTATCTACAAGTAGACCCTATTCTGATCCAGATGGATCCATTTCACATGTTATTTAACATCCATTTTAATAGCACCCTCCCATCTATGCCAGTGTCTTCAACATGGTATCTGTCTTTCTGGATCTCTGACCAACATTTTTATGACTTTCTCATCTATCCCATGCATGTACATTTCCTATCTATCTCATTTTCTGTGATTTGAACAACCTAATAATATGTAACAATAAAAATTATGAAGCTCATCATTATGACAAATTCTCCAGTATCCCTTCACTTCTTCTCTTATAGATTCAAATATCATCTTCAGCACTGTGTTCCCAAATATCTTCAATTCATATCCTTTCCTGTAATATGAGAGCCCAAGTTGGTCATTGATACAAAACAAGTAAAATCATATTTTCAAATTTGTTACTCTAGTGCATCTTCTTGCTGTCCATTAGTCATGTCAAAAGCATATACAAATATTGGAATTTTCAATTGAGATGACTCATGAAAGACACAAAATTGAATAATGCATGATGAGATCACTTAATCTTATGAGAAAAGTTATTCAGACTATAACTTGGGAATGACAGTGTTTTTGAGAATAATAATGATCTGGGAATACAGTTCAGTGGCTTGTTATAATACAAAGTCTTCTCTCTTTCATACATAATATAAGGAAAGTAAGATTAGTTGCGTGTTAGATTTTAATACACTGTATGCATGGGGGAGACAAAAAATGCATACTGAATTTTAGTGAGGAAACCTCTTTTAAATATTTACTTGGAAAATCGAGAAGATGATGGGAGGATAACATTAAGATGGAACTTAGGGATATTGCTGTAAGTATCAGAAATGGCTGAAGCTGGCTCCGGACTATGTCCAGTGGTGGGTTGTAGTACAGGGTACCATTTAAAATGCATCCATCTACAATCGGGTACTACAGTACAAAAATGAAATCAGAAATAGGTTTGCCTTTATGTAATAGACTCCCCCCATGACACCCAAGTCAGGGTCACCCTGGTTGCTAAACTGCTTGTCACACCAACTGCACAAAAGCTGTGCAGCTGTGAACATGGTGTATTCACAAGCAGAACATGTGTTCATTTTTGAAGATTACTTTTCATTGAAATTGTTGCTGCCTTTTATGAAGTATTTAGTATTGCATATCCTGACAAGTAAGTACCAAATAAGACAACGATACACAGACTGTTTACAAAATTTTGGGACACAGGAAATGTTTGTGACTGGAAACTTGTCCTGAACAGACAGATTGTTGACTGAACATTAGCTCATAGACACTTCACAAATCCACAGAACATGCTAAGAAGATGGTCAGCATTTTTAACATCTGTTGCAATGCTGTTCTGTAAGTTATTCCTAACAAATAAAAACTAAGAAAACTTATTTGTCGTGTTATATTGATATTACGAAAGTTTGCAAATACTGTTTTAGTTAGGGTTGCATTTCAAGTGGAACATTCTGTATTACTGATATAGTTTTGAACTCTGCTACCACCATTGCTGGGGACTTTAATAGTGAAATGTGTGTTGGGAACACACACCTTAAAGATGTTTTTATTGTGATTTCTCTACATTTTTGGTTATAGCTTTACTTTACTATTGAATATGCTTTACACTTTAATATGTCAGAGGTTTTTAACCATGTTTACAGCCTGCTTAGGTACAATACAAATTTTGATTTATAAGCTTAAAAATTCAAGCACAATGAAAACAGGAACATAAAATGGAGACTTCTGTAATGGTTGTGACTAAATTTCAGATATTTATGTAGAATATTATTTTGAATAATTTTGTGTATGTCATTTTTTAAAAAATAATGTGCAGTTATCCTCTTCCATTTCTGTTGAGATACTAGACTTTACCAATGGGCTTTTTAAGGTAATTTCTTTATTAAATAATTACTCACTTCACAAGTGCAGCCATTTAAGGGCTCATACTACAGACATTCTGAGAACAGCTAAGTTTACATTTGCTATATCATACACATTTTTGGAAATATTTTTGAGAAATAATGTGAAAATAAGGTAAAATCAACAGAGAAAAAGTAAAACTGTGTCTTAAAAACAAAGACAAAAGGATTTCAGTATAAACACTTGAATGAAATGTGTCTGATGTATTGCAGTAACCAGCTAACTGTTCCTAAAGAGGATGCACCCCCTCCTCCATGTACTTGTACAGTCACAATTGTTGCACAAGAAACCGAAGAAGCAGATTTGTCGTTAGGTAAGCACCACTCTTATTCTCTGCCTTGTACCCATCTGTACTTCCTCATGATTTTATCTTTGATTGCATGAATGGAAGTGCTGGATACAGGTTGCCTTGTATTTTTGACAACATACAGTGAGATGAATGTTTAATTACACAAATTTCTCTGATGGGATAATAATTTTTTTAAAATAATATTTTATAAAAGGTGTCTTATGTGCTATACAGTAATGTGATATTTTGCCAGTATTTAAACTTCTTTGTTATTGTTTTTCAAAGCAGTTCTTTACTTTTTGTTGCAGGCATTGGTGATACTAGATATGACATACTACAAACATCTAGTAGTTCTGTGAGCAATAGCCCAAGTAAAATAACTGGCACATCTTCACACATCCGGCATCAGTCTTGCCCAGCCCTTCCAAGTTCCTCTACTGCTACAACACTGCCATCAAAATCCAATACTACTCCTTTATTTCCACCACCCTTACCACCTCCCACAGTACCATCTATCCCATGCACTTCAACAGTATCAGTGTTGCAAAACAGTAACATTCTGTCTACTTCTGTTGCATCTACTTCAACAGCCCTATACCGACAGCAGACAGGTACAGATTCTAGTTCAGGAAATTTACTCCAGAGGCAACATAGTGGAGGAAATACACATACAATCCACTATGCAGAACTTGCTGATATATCGGAAGAACCTAGTTATGAAAACACAATCATCATTTCTGGTAAGAGCTTATAATTATAGGAATTTGTTAGAAAACAGTTAAACTATTCGTGCCTGTTAAGGGTGTGTCTTCACCCAGTTAGAGAGGTGCTTATCTGTTCACAAAATTCCATGTTATGAAACCCAGAGGCTAATCAGTAATCACAAAAACCTGCCACCAAGTCAGATTGATCCAGTTCACTGGTTCAGTACAGAATGCAATATATTTGTCTCCATTGTTTATAAATAGAGTTTATTAAATGTTTCTTACATGAACAGGTTTTTTCTTGCTGATGGCACTCTTATGTTGGGTCTTTGTAGCTTATTACCAACAAACTAGAATTGTAACACAATTTTTGCATGACTTTAGTCCAGCATCATATAATCAACATCTTGCACATTAATGCCCTAGCAGTTTCTGATCACATGCTCTTCTTGGAAGAATTCAATGGCACACAGCTTAGTTTTCTAGCTTGATATTGCCCTTTTCTCTAGGAGTCGGTCAGTAGTATTACAGGCTATAGGTTAAATGACTAGGGTCCAGTTCCCAGCAAGAGCAGAGCCTTTTTTCTTCAGCATTGTATGCAAACCACCTTTATGACCTGCCCAATCACGTGTCTAGTTGCTAGCAGGGGATGTCTCCCCAGGAGTAAAGCAGTGTTGACATGAAGCTGACCACACATCAGCATCTACTGCTGAGGTTAAGAATGTGTGGATCTGTACTTACATTCCCCCCATATATCTTGCAAGCTGTTGTGACTGATTAGACACAGGGATAAAATATTATCTATTGGTGTTAACAGTTCAAAATGTAGTAAGATGTTGGCAGCATCTGTTGCTTTAATCATCTCTGTGTCATGGGAGGTACAAGGGAAGACTTAATCATGATCAACAACTGTCATTGCTGTAACATGAGAACTGCATCATCTCAAGTGGAGATATGTCTTATGTACATGAAAAGGTTAATGTTAAACATTTGATGCTACATGTTTATCTGTATGGAATACTTTAATTTCAGTATTAAATTGCTGTTTTCTCTTTTAGGGGGCACATCATTAATAAAACCAGAGTATGGTACGACAGTTGAAACTGATGTTCCAAGCTCTGCTGTTCTGTCACAAAACTTCAAACCACTTACCTTGGAAGCAAGGTAAATCTACATATGTAGAGAATCTGTGGAAATTAAGTACCTTCCTGGAGTTCAGTTCAGTTTATATGGCTTAGCTCCAAGCTTCAACATTATAACTCCATTTATAAATGTTGCTTTCTCTGTTGATTATGACTAATATTTACTGGTTATATTTATGAATTACATAAATTGCATATCTGTCTATTCTTCTACACTCCTCATCTCTACTTGTCAGATTCGATGAAACTTTGTGTTGGGAATTCTAATAAAAGTGAATTTAATTTCTATTGATATTCATTAAATAAAACTCCTACTTTACATCAAGCTAATTCCTGTGGCTCATCATTTAACATATGTTCATAACACAAATTAGATTTTTAACAATATAAAACAATTATTTGTGTATGTGCAGCATTGTGTGCAGTGTGAACTTGAAGGCCATTGTGATATGCAAATAATGAATAATGCATTTTAAAAATATGTGTCCTCTACTGGGTACACTTTCTCATTATTGTTATATATGTTTTTGACATTTTTACACGTTTGTAACATTGAAAAGGGTCCATTATCTGCATTCTCCATATGTGTGTTTGTGATGTGATGGAAGCATTGTGATTCTTTTAAAACTAATTCCACAGTGTGGAGCCCTTCTTTAGAAACTGATAGTTGCTCAATTTAGTTAAGAAAGAAGTTATCCAACTTTTTTGGAACTTAAGGTTTATTATCATGTTCAGAGAGTAGCATGTCTCTGGATCTTATCCTGAGTTGGATGAATCCAGTCCACACCCTCAAACACATTTAAAAGAGGAATCAAATTGATTCTTTTTCGTATACTCATTTTTATATGAACAGGAGTCTGCCAAATTGAAAATTAATGTAATGTTGAATTATTTTTACCAGTGTATAAATACTGGTAATATGTTTTTTAACCATTATATTATTCATGCATTGCATATTTTCTTTTCCTTCTTTAATCTTAAAATTGCAAACAGCCACTTCAACATGAAGGTCCTTCCCATTTGTTGTACTTATTGTTCATAAGCATATAATTTATTGCCAACTCCTGACATCTCGGTTAGTAGTGTTACCATGCTTCTTGCACAGGTTTGAGTTTATTAGCCATGTCAGTTGGTTAAATGTCACTGACATTTCAGAGACAATATTTGTCCATGTGATGTAACTGTATGTCCAGACTATTCCACATTTATACCTGCCCATAGCCTGTATTTGTAGCTCAGTGTTAGCCACTGAAGGGCTGTTGGGCAGAGACAAGTGCTTGCTTAGCTTGGCTTTACCTCTGGAAGGTATATATGTAAGACAGTCTGGACACACATTTACATCATAAGCCAAATGATGTGGACATAGATGGTCCTTGAAATGTCAGTGATTGACATAGTTGACAGCAAAAAATACTACATTAATTTACAGTTTGTCTGTTCTATATAAAATGTATGGTTTTATAATTTTGGTTCTTTTATATACTTTATTTATAAAGTGGCTTTTTCTCTGTAATATTAATTGGTGCAAGGTCCTTGTGCCATATGAATAAATCAAAAGATACCAGCATTTCAGATTACAATGTTTCACGCCAGATTTTATGCTTGCTGTCTGAAGGGTCATTGTTTGATTTTATAGCAATCCACCATTGCCACATCCTGTCAGTAAACTGTTCCACTGCAGCACAAGTCATTTGGATCCCAGTGGAAGTTGTAAGACTCCACATCATGAACATCGCCGCAGTTTGAAGGAAGCCAGTGAGGCTCAGAAACAGCACTACCAACGTAGCAGTGTGAGTGAAGCAAGTGTTGCTTATGAGAACCTCAATATGGATTACATAGCGAAACTCACTTCTGAAGGTTATGCCCAGGATGCTGTGATAAGGGCCTTAGGTATTACAAGAAATGACATTGAAATGGCTTGGGACATTCTTCATGAATTTGCTACAAAACAAACCACTACATGATCTATGCATAACCCTGTGATGGGTAATTTTCGTTGATATTTGCTAGATTAATTTTATAACAAAATAATAAATGTATATTTAAATGCAATATTCTTGGAAGGAACTCAGATAGAAAGTGTTAATTATTATTGGAATTGTGACAACACAGCGAGGATAAAATGCTGGTGTTGTTTAAAAAAAAATTTGAAAATGTGATAATACTGATCATAATCATGGGGTCATGTTTTGTATGTAAATGAGTTGCCTTTTCATTTCCATTTTATCTTGTTGAGGCTGGTAATACAAATGTAGGTCAGGATATCTGCATAATTCATATTTTGCCATTACCTTAGGGGATTCAAAACAGATTATTAGTAATCTGTATAACTTAATTTGACACCTATAATGCAATTGAAAAACTGTGGTACACTTTCATATCATTTGATTTTTGTAATTTCTCATATGCACAGTCCATTGTTTTGTGTTTTATTATCTTCACATGGTGATGTGTGAATTCATTGCATGGAGCGTATTGATTTGTATTATAACTGACTAGGCTTCCATAGATAAAGTTATTGCATCATGTGTTTATTACTTTACAAAACAAAATGAAATGAAGGTCACCTTCTGAGACTGGTAAAACAATTTCTGAGAATTACTGATGTAATAAATTGCGATAATATGTCTACATATATGGTGAAATGCATTAGTCCTATGAATGATAATATGCAGGGTATTAAGATATTTGATTCAGCTAGAATGAAAATTACTAATTATTCTTTAAAATAATATTATAGAAATTTATTACAATGTGGTGTGCTAAATTAAAAAGTTATCTTTTTTACAGTACTTTCATTAAGTGTACTTTTAACTGAAGTATCACAAAGCATGTAAATTTCTATTCCAAGTAATAACTAATACTGGTTAATGTCGTTTGTTGGTGGTTTTATCCCTCCACCAATTACTAGTCAATGTGTACCTCATTACAGTTAACCATTTTAGTACAATACTGTCAATCTTAACTTTTCTGGAATATAATATGAGCCATCTCACTCATTTCTGTGATGATAACATACAGCAGAATTCCTCGTTTTCTGAATTATATGTGTTCTCAATGTTGACACATTTTCATCCTGTTTGGTCAGTCCTTTTAATAACTGTTGATAAGTAAGAGTGTTTATGTGGTGTGTGTATTGTGTTGGAAATGTATGTGTAGGTTATCTTTTTTTGGCATGAGGAAATTGAGATTTAATCACTTGCAGTTTGCACTTTAACATAGATGTTATATTTATACATTTAAATAACGTATTTCACGGATACTGTATGTGGTATACAAACTACTACTTCCAAAAATATTTACGGTGCAAATTTGTCAGCAAAGTATTTCATGAGCTTGAAATAAATTACAACTGTGCTAATGTGGCACTTGTAAAACGAAGAGTATAATATGGTTAGCTCATTTTACTTGATCTTGACAGTTCTGAAGAATCGTGTGCCATTTAAGAGCATGTGTTTAGTATTTTACATTCACATTTTTATTGAATTCTTCAAAGAGAGCTCCTTATATATACAGTATATATTTGACATAAAATATTTATCTCTTTAGAATGATTAACATTTGTAGGATTCGACGTTTTCACATTGGTATAAGTTTTATATTGTGGTCTTCTGGGTGGTTGTGCCACGTGGTCTTATCTTCATACCCCACTGTTTCAGAGAAATATGCTATCTCTGTATTCAGGGTTCAAGTGAATAGGGTTAAGATGTTGATGGATATAGGATGAGGATTGGGCCAAGGAGCAAGAAAGATTGTCCTTTCAGAGCCAAGTATTTCAAAGTTATAGACTTTAATTTGAAAAGTGACTTGAGTCACATCAAACATCTAAGAGGGCTGCTTGTGGCCCATGGATGTGAGTTTTGACATGTCTGTAATATATTATTCAGCTGTCACATGATGACAATGATGTTGTTTAGCTTTCACATGCAGAAGGAATTATTTTTGTTGTTTCATCATCATCATCATTATTATTGTCTAGAAATGAAGAAGTTAGGCCACTTGACATGTTGTAACCACAGTCTTTTTAAAAGTCATCCTTGATTTGAAATATTGTAATAGTTTGCGAAGTCTCTCACATTGTGTTCTGTCAGTATGTTGAACACAGTTGGATCTGTATTTTAATTGTCTGATATTGGTTCTATTTTTACTTTGTTTAATGTTTCTACATTTCTTTAATTGTTCAATTTCCACTTCCATGTAAAAGTGTTGGTGAGCTAGGGTGCTATAAATTTTTATTGCAGTGTGTTTGTGGACTATTGATGGTTTTTTTATTTATGCTGCAAAACTCACAATTCACTCTCTGCTTTGGACCACATTCTATTATTCACATGTTGTTCATTACCTGTATTCAGGATTGCAAGATGAAGGAATGCATATAACACAAATTATTTTGATAAGGTGCTTATATGTAAATACTGCTTTTAAGTCAGAAGTGTGCACAAATAGAGCACTGAGGATGTCAGTACTAAGGGTGATGGGAGACAGAGGAACCCAGTTGTAATCCTAGAATTTCCTAGTATGTGCAGTATGTTAAGTTATTCAGTTTTTAATTTTATTAGAAGAGTGGTGCTTGCTTATAGAGTATACCCAGGGCTACTGTGACTTAAATCTATTAGCCATTTATCCATGCTTTTAGATCAAAGCAGAAATGTACTTGACATCAATTTGTGTTAATTTGTTTGTGAGTGGGCAAACATTTATGAGGTCCAGGGTGAACCAGTCCTACAGTTTAACCAATTTTATTAGGTTCTCATACTCAAATTTGCAGCATGAATTAAAACTTTTATCTGTTTTATTTAACCTCAGATTTTAATTCCACCTGTTCCATACTCTCAGTTTCCTGGCTTTATTTGATTCTTTTTAGTCTATGTTGTCATAAGGACAGGATAGTGATGCATAAATGTGTAGGGGTGTTTGGAAGTGTTAAGACATAATCGATATTTTCACTAAACTACATTAATTAAGATTCTGTGAATTGTTGAAGTGGGCACTATATGAGACTGAGAAAGGATGTTCAAAAATGTAAAGGAAGTGAGAGAGTGGTCTTGGAGTAAATTATGAATCCTGTATACCAAAGGTCTTGGGTTCAGTTTTTAATCCCAACTTTTATTTATAACAAAGTGAAAACTTTGTAAATATTTGGAACACTCAGCTGTCACCGTGGCTGAAAACCTGCTATGAAACAGGCACCGCAAAAATATACTGCTGTCCCCATTCTGAACTACTGCTTATCCATTCATATTCTCAGCATATTTTTATAATCAATTTAATATTATTTTTCCATTGTGATGTCCTATGATATTTACCTGTCAGAATCCTGAACTGTAAATCACCTGTATGCTATTAATTGTATCTGAACATCTATGAGGTGTTAATGGTGTGAACTCTTCTCAACTGAAACACAATTGGAGAGCTATAATCTAATTTTCCAAATGTGTTTGTTGTGATTTTGCATTCCCCATTGGTCTTCATGTTTATTCATTACAAGTAATTTATTATTTGTTGCAAAAATAATTATGTTGCAAATCACTCTGTTGAATTTCACAAATAAAGTTGTTGACATAATTATCATTTATCAGCCATGTGTCATGGCTTATGCACATTCCAGCTGGCCATGTGTTAACAGTAGCATAACATTAAATTGTTAAACCCCAGTTATAGTCTGGCTGGCAGCCCTGTAGTTCTGGTGTTATGAGATTTGAGATTCATATGGCATGAAGATGTTCATATTGGTTTTTTGGGCTGTATGCCATGTGGACTTTCAGGTAGATTTCTGTATTTCAGGGGAACATACTGCCTGCATCTTCAGCCATGAAACATGGGTATTTAACTGCAAGTCCATGTGTTGTTACAGTGCAAAAGACCAACATTGACACAGGGGTCTTAAATCACCTGTTCCTGTATGATGTTGGTGAAGCAACAGTACTGACATAACACTGCATAAAGATGTATATTGTTATTCTTTTTATATTGACATTTTTGAAAAGTGTCTCAAATGAAAGTTATATCTCTTAATGAGTATATATTTTATGATATACCTATATTTTATTTTATGAGTGGTTTTTGGAAGATATGATGAACTTTCAACTTGAGCTTCATGTAGTAACAGTAAGGGTTATTTTAGATTGATATGGATAGGAATATAATTTCCCCAGTAACAGTTACTGTAGTGTTTGAATACAAAGTTTCACTGAAATGTGTTGAGTAGTTCCAGAGATGAAACATGCAAACAAATGGACCCACCCTTCCCATGATATGTTCATTTCATACACTTTTGTGAAGAATACATAAAAATTGTCATGCAACATGAAGACTAGCTAGGTCTTGCCATGTCAATGCATATTTTGTAACTTTGTGGTGCACAGCTATCCTGTCTCTAGTCATGATATATATGTTTGTATATTTTTATCCCATCTAAGTTAGAATGAATAAAGAGGTTATAAAGCAGCAGGTTACAGCAGGGGTGTGCTGAAATTGGTTCTGTCTACTTCTGTTTCTTTCAAATAATGTACCACTTGCACTATTGGACTCAGATGTAAAATGTGAAGAATCTTATGAGACATTCTTTATTATTCTGTGATATTAAGTTGTGCAAGAAAATGCTGACTATTCTGCTAATTTCATAAACAATTAAACATCTATATCTCTACCCACTTTCCAAAATTATTGTTACTGTCATAAGAGTTGCCAACCTTTTAGTACCCATGAACTTCAGAAGTAAGGCCTATGTATTAGTTACCAAGTATGTAAACTAATTATTATTTGCGAGGAAAATGTAGAGGATACTCGTAGAGTCTGCAGAAGATAAAGAAAGGGTTTAATGAAATTAACAAAATATAAAGTCTTATTTAAAAAATAATATAACTGAAATCAATCCTTGCTTTAATTGTAATGTACAGTAACTTGTATTTTTACATAAAAATATTCTTATGCTAAGTTATTAGAGGCACAGTCGTGAAATATTGCCTGCACTCCAGGATATTTAGTCATGTCTCTGTACATTCTTTTGTGGAATGAAGATAGTTTTTAAAGTTGTATTTACTGAAATAAATATGTAGAGTTCTTCAGACAGAACTAGAATATTAATTCCACTTTGTACATGACCAAAGTTTTCTTAAGGTATTCTGTGTTATTCTTAATATCCTTTGCCAAGATACACATGTACTAGCTAGTATTGTTACTGCTAGTTTTGAAAATGTGGGTCCCCATGTCAGATATTTCAGGGAGATTATTTGGCAGCTGTGCCAGGGCATGGCCTTTCCACTCTGCATGAACACTGCATTAATTGCTGCCGTTCCTAATCTGTCTGGTGATGTTGAATATATTCCCCATCATCTCGGATACATTCCCCACATCTCCTAAACTGATTGTAGATTACACGATTTCTCCAAGTTCTTCTGTAGTGTAAACTCGTAATGTTCTGCATAAAGAGAACCTTGGACAAAACTGAGTCGTCTGAGGAAAAGTAGCAACTAATGTGGTGATTGCACATAGCAGAAACTCTGTGCCTTGGCAGAGCAGCCACATAAGCTGTCTGTAACTGCCTAGGCAAATGTAAATCAATAGTATAAACAAACAGAACAAAAAATACCAACTTAAGACAAATTAATGTGTAGCAACTAACTCACTGGTTGGCCTTTGAAATATTCTATTTGATGTCTGCTATCACACTACAATCACATGCTAGCAAAACTAATAGTATTAGCAGCAATAGTCAATGCAAAGAGCACAAATCATTCCAACAAGTGCTTGCCAATGTTGAATGGAAATTTTAAAAATAATTATAAATATATATAGTATAAATAAAATAACATTTTATTTATTAACATTAAACAAAAATAATGATTTTTTTATAGTTTTATAAATAGTTATTTAGCTGTAAAATAATTGTGGCCATTTTTATTTTATTTTAGTAGTATATGCTTCTGTTGAATCTAACTTACCACCCATCTTCAAATTGTTTACTTCATTTTATAAACATTGTGTGATGAACACAGAACATAATATTTAACAACAAGAATCAAAATATGGAAAAAATTTCAATTATTATTTACTTCCCTAGTAGTAACTAGAATAAGTTTTAGATGTAGGCTTCTGCAATTAATCCTTTCTCTTTCTTTTCACATTCACTTATCTTGTGCTGAAAGTAATTGAAGTTTGAACGTAGCATTATATAATAAATAAATTGCCTCTGCGTTGAATGGGCAATTAAATGACATTAATGTAACTCTAGTCACTTTTTCAGTAGTTGTTTATAATATGCTAAGGGACATTCTGAAAATTGCTACAGTGAAATCTTCATAATTTAGCCATGAATGTACATCATTTAAAGACAGTAAAACTTAAAAGAAGTAACTAAATTAATAATTATTATTAGTCATGATTCATTAAATCAGTATTGCTTTGTCTCTTGAATCTCTACAATATGAAGTGATGGATGTGGTGATCTTTGTTATTAATAATATGGACATCATATTTTCTCCTAAAAATACAAGACTTTAAAAAATGCCTTCATTTTTGATACTGGAAAATAGTCCTAGGACTCAGAGACCTGCTAACAATTATGTTTATTCTAGTCTTTTGAGTAAATAGACATAGCACACCCCTGAAAGGAATGTGGTATAGAGAGGACTGCTAGATTGTCAGACCTGGAAGATGCACACAGAAAGTCTCTACATTGTAATGATTTCCAAACTATGTGACATCTCCCTCTTGGAGTGAACACCACATTCAGTTATGAGGCAGTGGTTGGTCAGATCTTCCCTAATGAAACAATTGCATCCTTTCATACAATTTAGAATTTGTAGTAATGTGTGATTGTTTGCATTTTTGCCATTGTGTATAACAGTGCACTGCAAGATGGGGAATGAAATATGCAGATATTTTACACATTTCTGGTTTAGAGTCGAAAGAATTGTTTGAATAACTGGTAACATATTTTATAATATATCAAGTATAAACATGGGAATTGTACAGTGTTTTTAGGTTAGGGTTGCCAACTTCAAATTACTGTAACTGAAGTATTTCTTTGTTTATTTCTGAATTCATCATTAGTTCAGTCTGGGACAGAATGAGATAAAATAATTGTAAATATGCTGATGATGAGTGTAGCCTATGAAGTTTTGAAATATTTTCCATCACTGTTCTTGCTATTGTATCTCCTTTTTGAGTGTATCTTCTGCCATATGTGCCTATTTACCTTTCTCTCTGTATTTCACATTCAATATGTATTGTTTAAGAAAGAAAACTAATAAGACCAATACCTTGTATATTCTTAAATTATTGTGGTTTAGACTCTGAATAAGACTGAATTTAAGTAATTGTTGTGATTGGAAGTAATCTCAAATTTAATTTAATATTATGCCAAAAATGTGTTGGAATTCTGCTGTATTATCATATTTATTATTAAACCATGGAACTTTGAAGAGGGGTGTCACATATGGAGTATATAAATGAGTTACTGTGAAGGGAAGAGAAAGTTCAAGTAAGCTCAATACAACCATTTTTTAAACTAATCATTCTGTGTTTTCTCTCACATTATTGTTAATAATATGTGGCATGGACAGGACTAGATTGGTTATAATTTTGCCATGTTATTACTTTTTTGTACATATAATATGAGAAATAAAGAATAAATGTTGATTACAGATGTTTCTGACAGCTAATATTCTATAAACAGAGTCCCCCCTAGCATAATTAAAATATTAAGGTCATACTCAGAACTAGCTGCAAGGATTAATCATGTAGTTTGCCCCCATATGAACTTGTTACACAAGTTTTATTAAATGCACTTAGCCACAGTTGGTCACAAGCATTGGGTGTCTATAAGGGATTATCAAATTCTGCTCTGTATGCTGTCCGGTTATTTATGATGTATGTGGGCCGTGGGATTTGTTGTCAGGTATTCGTAGGACTTCACAATGTAGAGAAAGATGGAAGGGTAGTTCAGTAAGTTGGATGGCAGTTAACGTTGTTACCAGCTGAACTCTTGGAATTATCTACTGCTATGGTTTAATACCAACTGTTTCTGGCAGGTCGTTTGTACAGTTAAAGTAGTACTGCGGATAGATGGCGAGCGTCGTAGGCCACCTACGTTGCCAATCTTTAACATCGTGTAGTCGGTTGTAAGTTATATCTGTAGTAGAAAATTTAAATGCCTGTTTCTAACTGCAGTTATTTTATGTATATTCTTCCTACGAATTTCTTGGAATATTATATTTGTGCAATGGATACTGTGTAGAAACAAGCAGAATACGTTGTTACAAGTGTGACGAACTTGTCGACGGTAATAGGTTAGAATGCGAAGATCGTATATATGGTGCCTTGCGGGTTTTGTGATAGTGTGTATAATTTGGTTGCACTTGTTGCTCGAAAATTTAAAGTTTGTTATACCACCAACAAAACACAAATTTTTTAACTTTGACAACGTAACAGGAGTTGAGGAAATTATCGTGCCTAATGTGATACATTTTATTCTGTTTGGTCAGAATTCTCTAGATTTTGTATCCTTTCTCAGCATTTTATCGGCGTTAAAGGTACATACCATCGTTTTCCTTCTTAAAGCTGCAGACATGCAACACTTTTTCATAGTTATAAACAAAGTTAGAAGGATGTTTACGTAGGCCACGTGCATGTTTGTGTGATTTACTACATTAGTTTTGTTTTGTAGCGTAAACACTTAAAGTAATTACCATTACTGTAATACGGTTTCGGAATTTTTATGGCGAAAATAAAGCTGTAATTGTACCGGATTTAGGGTATAATAATTTTAAATGTTGATGTCTAAAGCTCTGCATATGAAGTTCAGTGCAGTTGCATGATCAGCTGTATACCAACCTACAACTGAGGTATCCTGCCTATGGTGTTCTGTCCAATTTTTGTTTTCATAATGCCTTATTTGCTGCCAGTATTACATTAGTCTTACGCTTATTTCAGTATTAGAATTTATATCACATGTCTCATTTATCATACCGTAAAATACGCAATGTATAATTTTGTATTGGTCAAGTAGAATATGATACAGAATATTTAAGTTAAAATTATAGTGAAACATTTTGTTTTTTCTACATACAGTAGAATTAAAACAAAGAATTGTAATTTTTAGTCTTCGTTATAATTCCCGAGGCATTATAATACATGGAGTATCCGTACTGTCTTTTCTTTTAATTTTTAGAGTTCCACAAATCCTCTTGTCCTAAAATTATCTCAGAAATTGTTCATATAGTATTTATTACGTGTCACCTTGCACAGCATTATTTTATTTTTTTCAGAACATCGAGATTGAATATAACCAGCCACAGTGGCCGCACAGTCTGAGGTGTGGGCCGTGATAGATTGGACACTGGAACCGTGGGTTCAAATCCCACTCAAGGCACGGATGCTTGCGTCTCTCTATGTGTTGTGCTGTCCTGTGTATGGTTAGAGGCCCTGCAATGGGCTGATCCCTTGTCCAAGGAGTCCTACCAAATGTCTAAATAGATTAAGTAACCTCCAGAAGAGGTGGCCAAGACTTACACTGGGTTGTAAAGCCACAGATGATGATGAGGCTGAATAAAATATGAATTATCTACAAAAGTTGGACATATCAGAGCCCTATCCATGAATTAAGATTGAGCCATTTATATTAAAAGTTGGTAGCTCCAATTCTGTGACAGGAACTCTTCTGACTTTGCATCAAAAAGAAAGGTGTCAGTCAAGATGAAGGTGCTACATTTGCAGTTAGTCATTAAGGTGATAGAATATTGTGTTATTTCAGGTCCAGCAACCAGAAATAGTTTATATACACAGTGATGCAGAGAAGTTTGGGGGACATTATTGGACAGTCCTTCAAACATTGTCATTTCCAAACACATCACTGGTATTATCATACCGTCCAAGACCTACTCATGTATTTGGACAGCCATTAAGTTCAGTATACCATGCATCTGATGTGGCTAGAATTCAAGTGCTGATGGAATGTGGTGGAATCTACATTGATGCTGACACACTAATTCTTCGGTCATTAAACCGTTTTCGTCACTTTGAAATGGCTGTTGGTTGGCCGCAGGGAGAGTACATGGGCACTCAGGTGAAGTAATTCATAAAATTAATAGTTCAGCCATTGACAACTGAGTACATGTATACTTGGAGAAGCTCACAGACTGAATTTGTTACAAGTATAGGGTGTTGATTGCCTTCATTAACATTTATCATACAGGTACAGGGGATTTATTTTCCTGAATTATTGTCCTGCCAGCCAGAGTTTAGTTCTTGAGAGAAATGGTTTAGTGGCATGCTAGTGTGACACTCGATTAGCTGTATTGTGTGTAAGCTGTATTACACTGACAGTAAAGGTTAACTTACTGCAGTGATGCTGCATTAATAAACAGGATTGGAATGGTGTACTCTGTTGTACACTAAAATTCCAAAGTGTTTTTTATGCTACATTACAGGCAGTGACATCAGCAGGGCACCCAAGGGAATAACACATGTGGTATTTGTGTCAAAGATGACAGTAGTATCCCAGGTCATTGTTGAAACTGTGTGATTGATATAACAGTGTGATCAGGTCACTGTCGTAACAATGTAATGAAACACATGACAGACAGACTAAATTGTTTTTATTGTTTCCTTCCATCCTGCCTGTCGGTTGCTAGGTGATGTAAGATATAATACACAGTCTATGTTGGCTGTTATATAGCTTGGCAGCCCTATGCAGTTTAATGTATGAATAAATGTATTTGATATTATCTCAAGGCAGTGGTACAGCAGTAAATATTTAGAAAATATATATAATATTACATCCTCTTGCAATTAGGATTTCAGTTTAATGATATGTAAGAATCATTTAGTGTTTGTCTCCTGCAGTACAACTTTCATTATCAGATACAAAGTTAAAATACCTCTTGTTTATACTGTATGCTAAGCTTCTTAGAGATGCATGTAGATGGCTAACATAATACAGATGTAGTTACAAGCATTAAATTCATATTTTTAAAAGATATGTGATGTAAGAAGGAAGCAGTTTAATTACTTCAATATTTTTTTACAAAGAACTTCTGTGGCCAAGAATGCATACTCCAGCTGGTGTAAAATTAATTTAAATATAACCTCAGAATTATCATAAAATCTTTATACAAGTTATTCAGGTATTTATTTGGTAATGTTTCATAACACTGAAAGTGGCTAACAGCATCCAAACTGGGAAAGTATGCCAGTCCCAATAGTTTAATACTGTATACCATTTCAGAATGATCAACCAGTGTTTAACATGACCTTCAGGGCCCCAGCCTGGAATTTACTGCCTTAATTTCGATTTTATTCCATAGACATCTAATGGATTGTTTGTATTCATTATGTAGATTCTGGTGGCTCATAAGGAAGCTCGTTTTTTACCACTGTGGCTGAACAGCTACAGACATTACCATCCACGAGACTGGTACTACAATGCTGGTCAGCAGCCAACAGAACAAATACTGGACAAGGCACCATACCTGGTTCACAGGGTTCCAGGCTTGTTTGGTGTGCACAATCTTGCTGCTCGTCTTTATGGGCTAAACCCATGGCCACAATGGCATCGTATGTTCACGGTGCATCTCTTAAGCAGACATGCTCCTGCCCCTCAGAAGCTTGATGAGAAATTTGTTATTCATTACAGAGCACCATTTGGTGACATGGCAAGGTGGCTGTTATACAAGCTGGAACCAAAAGTACCGTTCCCACAAGCGGGCCATTACATTTACAGTAAATCTATGAATACCAGCATTTGTTCAATAGGAGGTAGCAGTGGAACTGGCAAGTGACAGTAGTCATTAGGAATAAGAAGAAAGTCAAATAAGAATTTATAAAATTCAGAAATATGCCCATTCCAGCAGGTATTTACAGTATCTGAGAGTGGAAGAAAAACATAACCTTCCAGTGCATCTCTTAATGTATATTTAAATTTATTATAATACTGCACTGAGGTTTAAGAAATGTTAATGCTGTTAGGGCAGTATTTATTCTTTTTAAAGTGATTATCCTGGAGTATGAAAATATTGAATAATTCAACATTCTAAGTATATTTAGCTGAACTGATAAGTTAAAGATTTTCTCATATTTATGTAATCTCTTTTTGTTACAGCTATTATATACTAGGATCCAATCTGTACAACCAAACATTGTATCCACTGTTTGCTGTGTGCGTGTTTGCCCCACACACATCTTACCCATAAGTCTTTGCACTTAGCTTATGAATGTATGCATGGTACATTACAGACTGGTTCTAAATGCTATGACTGGAATAACTAGACTTCCATTATAGTGAATAGCGAAGTGTATTTTGTTACTGTTCTTCAAAATGGCGAACAATGTGGAAATGGTAATTCATATCATTGTGCTATTTAATTGTTTGATGAGTCATTGAATTCACACAGATCTATTGCTTTCAGATTTGTATTCAAATCTGAGCACTTCTGTTTTATTACCATAATTAACATTGAAACTATAAAACTTTTCAAATTGTTCATAAATGTTTTTTATTCTCTTCATTATTCCTTTGGAAACATTTGTTCTGTGGAACTTTCCTGCCTATTATCATGTGCCTTTCCTAATAAAAGCCATGTATCTTTGCACTTCTGAATCCTGAACCTATGTCTACTATGTAAGAGGAGGATAGCATTCAAATAGATGAAAACTTGTCTGAGCAAAATACAGAAAGGATCTTATTTGCCTCTGACATCTCCAACATAGCTGAGAAGTTCTGATAAGCATGAAAAATAATACCTAATTGGGCTACAGGCTCAGCAAGCTAACACTAGACTTTGAACCTGTTGTCAAGAAACAACATAGCCTGATGGAAATTGAATTAATAACTTCTCAAATTTAGTGTGGGAGAAGGATTCATTGTGACAAAGTAGATGGTGATGGTATTGTTGTTATTATTAAAAATACTTGTCTTACTAATGCTTTGCTGTATCCATGCAACCATTTATTTTGTTAAATTTTTCAGGTGTGTTCTTTGCCTTCTTCCTCGGTCATCAGTGGATCATCTTGTGAGCATGGATTACTTCATCCCAGTTTGATTGAATTTCGTTCACAGTTCAGTGGGATTTCAGTCTACCATTCTTGTAATGTTGTAACAACTGCCATTTCAAGTAAATTTTACTGAGACTTTTTCAAAATTTCCATTAGAAGGCATTGTTGCATGTTTGCTGAGTAAATTAATACATGCTTTTATGAACCCTGATTTGCTTTTCTTACTAATCCATCCAAGAACATATAATGGAGGAAGCAAAGAGTTTTGAATACACCAGGTCTGAAATTGAGCCCTGTTGTCACACTCATACATATCTCAGTTTTCCTTCCAGAGGAAAAGTGTGGCTCTTTGGGTATACCCTGACTTGGCTGGGATCTGTTGCAGTGTGTTCATGCATAATAACTGGGATTTTGTTTTTCTTCCTCTTCTTTCTAACTGCACCATAATCCATGTGCATCTATTAAAGAACATGGAATCATGTCCTGTGGTAAGCTATTCTGTCCTTTGTTCATGATTTTTTTTTGTCTTTTTAGGTGAAATGTTTTGGTGTAGGACATAATTTCTCCCCCAACACAGAATCATTTGCTTCATAAGCCAGTGTGTAAAAGTGAAGCAGAAGTAGTATATGTAGTTCCCTCCACCCTTATTTTGTTAATTGATGTGGCCAGTAGTGAGCATCAAAGTAAATTCTTGTTTATTTTTCTTTTGCTTTTATTGTTTTACAATTTACGTGTGAATACGAAATCCCCTTGAAATTGTTTGGTTCCACAAATTTGGTTATGACTTTTAAATTGATTTATTATCCTGGTCACGCACACAGTTCCTATGGAAAACATTTTTATACCCATCTCGCTCAAAGACTTTCACAGCAAAGAGGTTATGTTTATGATATCTGTTTTCGTCATATTAAAGACACGATTGGTATAGAGTGGTAGAGGTCATGTCTGTGGGATATAAGATCTTTGGTTCTCGTCCGCCAGTCAGGTGCGGTGCAATCCTGTAAGCAGGTGGCAATCGTTACCTTCATTAAGTCGCCGATGACGGCTGTTTGTGCTGTTGTGTTCTTTTGAAGGCTGACTTTCTTGTGATGAGCTGATTAGTACTAGGGAACATAATAAATTACTTACGAAGTGCACTTGTTTTGTGATGGCACGAGAGGTTCCTGTGTCTGTCTTCGCTGGGGTAATCCAAAGGTACAGTACGAATCAACAAACTTCCAACTATGTGTAATGTACAACTGCAAGATGAATCATGAAATTTGTGTAACAATTCTGTAAGCTGATTATTTAAGTACAATGATTTACAGTTTCATTGTAATGTTGTCACATTGTTTCTTTACACACAAAATGGGGATTGCATTTTATTCTAAAGAGTTATGAGTGAATCGCAGGTTTGACGTTGAAGCTGCATGTTTATAAACGGAAATAATGGTTATGTTGAAATTATTGTGTAATCCGTAATGTGCCCTTTGTATAAATGCTATTTATCTGACTAACCACGAGTCACTGATAAATGATAAACTTCAGCTGAACACTGCAGTGGGTAGTTAGGCTTACATGTGACTACCACAGCCTTGGCAGGCATTTTCTGCGTTCTAAAGCCTGCCCGTAAGTTTGATATACAACGACACTTGTGCATGAAAAATTGTAAACTGTGAGATATTTGTTTTGCGTCCAACTGTTGAAGGCAAGATGTTTATTGCCTCATTCATTAATAGTGTTTCTTGTTAAATTAAGAATAAATCTGAATTTTAAGTGACAGAATATCATTGTCCTTGTTTATGTTGTGTCTATGTCAATATTCAGTGCTATAAAAGTTACTATGTAATGATTGCTAAATGCAGCTTCGTGGGTGGAACCGGAAGGCATGCAATGTGGGCTGTAGTTGAGCAGGGATGTGTTACGTAAGTATACTGACATGATATAATTTGCATTTCAGGTCTCTACATTGCAAAAGAAAAGAGAAAATATAGCTGTCGTTTGAACAGCAGAATGTGGAACTTAGAAGCTGTAATCAGAAATCTAGTTTAACATTTTATTTAAAAAGGCACAACTGTACAGAGAAATCATGGTTGGTCAGGGAAATTGCATGGGTGTGTTACAGCGCCGCTCGATTCCCACGGTGCGATAAGTACAACTCGGTCCGTCGGTCGATAAGCGATTCTGGCAGCAAGCAATATTACGCTAACAAATAGAACTGTCGTTACGTTGCTTCATTCAATAGGGAGAACGTGATGGAAGGTTCGGTGATTGAAGGAACCGCTAAAAATTGATGTCACTGTACAACATATTTGAAAACTTATGTGAAATATCTCAATTTAAAATTATGGCCCTAATAGTCCTGTAATATCTCCCAAAATTTCATTAGATTTACATTATCTGTGTACGATAGGAAATTGACCCAAATAAACGTTCTATTTGGTTTTCATTCAACTTTGATGAGACTTGTAATTTTTCTCAGTCCCTCGATTTTTATGCAGGGTTAATGCGTTTAAATTTAAATACGTTGAGGCTGGTTTCATGTCCTTTGTTCACTGCCCATGGTCACTTCCTCCCATCTCTCTGGCTCCAGAAACTTCTGCAGAAAGAAACAGCTGGTTTATATACGCTGTGTATCAGGTTATGATTCGGGATTGCGATTTTAGATTTGGCGCTGTTTTACTTGACGTTCCGGATTCTCTATAAATTAAACTGCTTGGGTTGAGGACAGGAAAATGTAGCTATATTTATGAAAGAACAGTTTGGTGAAAAAGATTCTGTCCTTCAGACTGATCAAACCAACCAGGAATCGGAACCGGTTTGTTAAGAAAAACACTTGTGCGCCTGGATTGTACACAGTGCAGTGCTCACTCTAGATGTGCGTCTCGCGACCTTTTTGAGGTTATAAACAAAGTAAATAACTGGAGCAGACAATGTTCCTGCTAACAGCATAACGTGTAAGATCAGTTTCGTTGCACTGAGAGCACGTCGTTCGTACACTGTTATCACAGTAGCGTATGTTTTTATGTATCGATTATCCACCCTAAGATGATTCACCAAGACTCAAATATGCAGACCCATCCTTCTCAGTGAGCACTCAATAAGGACCGTTCTGTTTATTTAATTTTGTGTAAAATAGTGTATGATGAGCGACTTTTTTTAAATGGTGGCGCCAGAAAATAAACTTTGGGAACCACGGATGAAGGGGCATTAACACGCTAGTTTTCATTGATCAGAATACGTTTATGTTTTAGTCTCTCTCTCCGGAGAGCAAAGCCAATCGCCTTGACGTCCGCGCACATGACGCCGGGGGCGTCTCAGTGCTGAGTGACGTCACCGCGTGACATCCCCTCATGACTCAGACGACGGTCGTTAGTTGTATCACGGAACTCGACCAGACCGGTCCAGTGCAGTTTCTTTCTTGGTAGTTGCTTACACGAGATACTTCTGAGATTACGCAGTAGTGAATAGTGCATTCTGGCGCCGAACGTAATGCAGGATGAGGGGGCTGACCCCTTTCCCCAGCTGCACATGTATCATCAAGGTACGTCGTGTGTTCCAGTGTTTCGAAAGTGGTTCGGGTGCAACCACGCTTTTCTTCTCACTCACAAATCTGTAAAGTTGATTGTGTGTTCTTTCTGACCCTCATAATTCCTTTCGAATCACAGGATGATTGTGAATGGTATCCAGCGTCGCGGTCAAGTCGGCACTTCTGCTTCGTGCTCGGTAGGTAATGGGTTGAATTCCCGACCTGGTAACTGGCAATACTGACGGGTGTTTCGCGGTCATCCCCAGTCCATCCAGCCAGATCTCGTGATAGTACTTTGAATTAGGCCACGATCACTTCCTTCTCATCATTTCCGAAGCATCCTATCATTGACGCTGTATAATCTGACTTCATGATTGCGTCATGAAAGAAAACACGAATAAAAATAATGAAATTACGAAAACGTGGGAGGAAATTGTCGTCGCCATTTTACAGTTGCCCCAGAATTTTCCTAGAGGGATCGAGAAAATTTACAAAAACAGCAGGACGGTCTTTGGACTCTCGAACACGAAGTAGGAGTGGCAGCCTGTTTCGTCGAATCGTGGCCGGTTTTGTACGTGTTTTTGCTACTGTCAAGTTCACGAATGAACTCTGACATCACTGCGCGCTGTCAGTTTACAGTGTCAAAGAATGTACATTGCTTGCTCTTGTTCATGTGTATAATATTCACTGAGATGCATCAGCAGTGTTTGCCGGCTTCTGGAAAAGTTTGTAATCGCTCAGGTGATGAATTTGCCTACCTTCCACGTAACCCGAAAGTTCTGGCTCTGGACCCCCTCCTCCTTTACGAAAACCATTTCGCACGTCTGCACCCTGTCTTTTAAGATCTGTTGAAATATTGTTCTTCCATTCATGCCCCAAGTAGCCACTCGCATTCAGGATTTCTGGCAAAAATATTGTTTTTGCTTGCATGTGTGCTAAATGCCCCCCCCCCCCCCCC